TGAATCTATTAGGCTGCATTCGTTCTGGAGGTTCCAGGAAGAATCTCCTGTCTTGTGCTTTCCAGCGTCCAGAAGCTGCCTGCATCCTTTGGTTCATGGCCTCTTCCTCTATCCTCAAACCCAGCATCTTCTGTCTTTAACTTTCTGTCTCCCGTTTATAAAGACTTATGTGATTACATGGAGCCCACTCAGAAAATCCAGAATAACTCCCCGTCTCAAGATCCTTAACTAAATTATATCTGCAAATTTCCTTCTCCCAAATAAGACCACATATTCGTAGGTTCCAGGAAATATGATGTGGACATCATTGGGGTATTTTTCAGCCTGCAACAGATAATAACTTCTTCTCTAAGAGAACTGGCTCAACTTAACATTAGTTAAGCTAATACAGTTGATCATTCATTCATTTAGTTGGCACACTTACCAGACTGTTATTGAGTATCTACTATGAGCTAAGCATTCCTCTAGGAGCTCAGAAAATGGGAATACCATAGTGAATACATTCACTAAGTTCCCTGTTCTCTCAGGGCTTAGATTCTATGTATAAATAAAATCCCAGGCATATGGAAAAAACATAGATACAGAAGGTGTTCGCCTTTCAGAGATGGAAGCATAGTTCAATGTGGCAGTAGCATAGAATACAAAGGAATTAAGTTATTGTGAGCTATGCTAGAAAAGTTATACTTAAAATGCAGGAAATAATTTTAAAAGAAAAGCAGGTGACATGATTAGATATGTAATTTATGAAGATGCCTATGACTGAAATGTGAATTAGAGGGAAACAAGACTGGAATTAGAAAGACCAATTAGGACATGCTGCTTTAATCCAGGTGATAAGTGATGACAGTCTGAATTAGGTTAATAGCATTGGATGCTATTGGAGGCAGGAAGTACAATAATTTAAGGCAGCACGAAGAAGTTGAGAAATATCATGGCATTTGTAGAGTGACCTGTGAGGTCAAAGTTGATAGGAAAGAGTGAGAGACAAAAGGGGTAAAAGACAAATACCCAAACAACACATAGTTTGGCTCATCATTTAGATACACTAGTCACTACTGTATTATTTTGTATTCTTCAGTTTATGAAGCCTTAGACTTAGGCCATTGAAAATTTATGAGCTAAGTCCCTGAATAGACTTGCTAAAGTTTTATTTGGTTTATTAGCTCAGTTTGTTCCACATTTCCTTCTCTAGGAACAGATTAGCAACAGTTGCTTCTAAATGTCTCCCATTTTAGGTATAATTAATAAAAATATTAACCACTAATTTTGTTATGACTGATTATGGCTTGTGAGTCCTGTTGCTATCTGTGCTGCCCTTTGTTCTATAGCCGTCTCTAATTCTGACTCTCTGTGTGTGTGTGTGTGTGTGTGTGTGTGTGTGTGTGTGTCTCTCTCTCTCTCTCTCACACACACACACACACACACACGCAAAGTTAATTCTTAGAGCCAGCTCTCTTAATCAAATGGGGGTAAAAGAGAGGACAGACTCATCAATAACTTTAATTTTGAAATAAATTTATAGGTAGCAGGGTCTTCTCTTGACCCATCCAGTTGTCCAGCCCATTGACCACTAACACAGTCCCTTGGAGGAGGGTAGAAGCCTTTGCCTACTTAATAACATCTCCCCAACAATGCTACCAATTTTGATACAAGCCCAATTACCCTCAAATAGAGTTGAAAAAAAGAAAAACTTTCCATTTTAAACCTCGAAGTGATTTCACTCAGTGACCTAGAGCTCAAGGACTTTTTCCTTTGCTAAGAATTCCAACCACCCAGCTCCCCAGTGAATAATAAAGACAATGTAATCATCTGTGTTTCTTTTAGTGGTTAATTGGGAACAGGATCATTTTATCCATCTTCATGAGTTGAAGCCCTTCTAGAAATGATTGTGGTTTGTTTTGCCCACCCACAAGATACCAAAATAACCTGCTATCTTCGCAAAATGTGCATCTATTCCCCCAAATCATATTTTATGCCAAGTTTTAAAAGAGAGGGAACCATGCCAGAATTCATTTTCAACCAAGTTTTATTTTCTATTTCTAGTGCTAGTGCATGGTAGACAGCTGGAGGATAGTTCCATTTAAGTTGATTTCTTCCTTGACACTGTTTCTTTTCAGATATGAATTAGCTAGAATAGTGCTAAAAATGAAGGTAACTAATTGTGGACTAAAAACAACAACAGAAGTAATTGCAAGTAAAGAAACCCAGTAAACATTTCAGTGATAATTTGCTTGGTGGGGGAGTGGACATTTTTTTTGCTTGTGCTTAGGAACTATTAATTATATGAATGTTAGCAAATCGCACCTAATAAATTTTGGCCTATATGAATGTGGCATAAAGTGAGACACAAGGCAAAAAACAAGAAGACCCAATCCACCTAGAGAGAATGTAGCTTAATATTGGCATAAATTGCATTTAATATAATGAGCCTAATCTAAATGTTAGTGCAGTTGATCCTACATGTAAGATGCACTCAAAATATACTACAGAAATAATATGACTTGGCATTTAGATACACTAGTATCCTTTCTAGTCACTACTGTATTATTTTGTATTCTTCAGTTTATGAAGCCTTGGACTTAGACCATCAAAAATTTTTAAGCTAAGTCCCTGAATGTACTTGCTAAAATTTTATTTGGTTTATTCCACATTTCTTTCTCTATCAACCTCCATTAACCATCTTAGACACTAGATGAATATGATATTTCCAACATATGAACTATTTTAATTAATTCTGGTAAATGCTTTAGAGAGGCCAAAATGTTTATTTCTATATAATACCAAAAATCATTTTACTTGGTGCCAAGAGGTATGGATATTTAATAACCTGTTTATTCTTCTCATGGTTTCTCCAGAACACCCATAAAGAAGGAATCTCATAAAGATGTTATTGACTTCATTGACTTTTCCCCACTCACTTCTTTTCCATCTTCTACATATGAGATGCTCCTCATAGCTCAAGTCTGGCTGGCTGAAGGTATTTGACCCACGAGCATGTTGCTTATGGCAGCCATGTGTACCCTGGCATAATCTTACCTCTCCCTGGCTTACTCTTTAATGTAAGTAGTAGCATTTCCAGGACCCGGAATAGGTCAAAGACAACTCTAAATTTCATACTTAAATTTTTGACAATGAGTTGACCTCTATGAGATCTGTAGACAATCTTCTCTTCTGATTCTATTCAGGGCACAGTCTATGCCACTTTTTGAACGCCAACCGTTTTATGCCACTAAATTATGAAGCCTTTACATAAAGTAACAATCCATTCAAAAGGTTTAGTTCCTCAACTCTTCTAAGAACATGTCATTTCTACTGTCTTCTCAGGCCATAGATTCTACAGAAAGATCAGGAAAGACTTGTTTTCTATATCACTTTGCAATCCATTTTAATTACTTTGTGTGATTTATTGATTTTTCTTTGGCCTTTGAATCTGTGAGTAGGAGTTGATTACAGATTAAACTTTATAAGGATATTGTGTATCTTTGATTATTAATACTGACACCTTAATACTAATTAGAAAATCAGTAGAAATGGTCTCTTGATGGATCCAGTAGTGATTTTTGTGAAGTCAAACATGTATTTGATTTGATTTTGCCTTTTTTGTAATTTTTACCTCAATAATTTAACACCTGGTAGTGAGTTGGATATACATCCTCCATAATAGGGACTAGAAATAGCTAACATTTGTTGACCTTTTACTCTGTGCCAGGTATTAGGCTAAGCATTCTACAAAGTTTATTCTCATTTAATCCCCACAGAAGCTCTATGAAGTTGATGCCATTTTTATTTCCATTTTTCCCAATAGAAAGGTGAAGCCTAGAGAGATAGAAGTAACTTTTCACAGGTAGCATGGCTACTATGAGACGAGACCAGAATTCAAGTCAGAAAATCTGACTCCAGAACCTGAACTCTTAATCATTACTATATACTACCTCTTATGCGAAGATAATATTGTTTTCTTAATTTAGATTTGGTATGGACAATTTATCCTGCTCCCTAGTGCCAACACAGTATTTCACAACAGACAATAAAAGTGAAGGTAATTTTCACAATGAGTTCCTAACATTTAACTGGCTTAGGGATGAGATCCTACAGCAATTTAAATATTGCAGTTATGTAGATGTCTATTTTGTAAACAGATAATTTAGAGAGCATCCCATGAAGTAATTCTGCTCAAGATAAGTTTTTTTATTTTTTATTTATTTATTTATTTATTTATTTTTACCATAGATATTTTGTTGAAGAAAAAAAGTGTATGCCCTAGGTTAATTTCTGGTTGTGACCGTTCCAAGATTTGGATTGTGGGGGTTGTTAAAATCAGTGTTGCCGTGCCTGATGGTGAAGACAATAAGGCTTGATTATCCATTTCTCTAGTGGGAGAGCAGATGCAAAATTATTTCTTACAGAGAATCATGGCCTTTCCTCCTTCCATTCATTCTCTTGACACAAGTTAAGCGGGGTGGAAATGTCCTCTGTTCAGGCTGTTATTCTTGACAGCCTCCTCAACTTCTCCTCAAAGCCCTGAGAGGATACAACTCTTCTCCTTGTTCAGATGACTATTAAAGTAAACTGCTTAGTGTTAAGTGGTGTAATAGACAAATTGCACTCCAGATCAAATTCTTGTCTAATACTCTGTCACTCAATATTTAGCAAAACCCCAGTGTGTGAAGCAATACTTAGGGGAGATATCTTGAAGTTTATATATGGCTCACTAACTCCTCTCAAATGCTTTACAATTTATACCTAGAGTTATGCATAGTGGCATCCATCCAAAATGCCTCCTCCTAAGAGAATGACTTTTTAAAATTTATACCTTTCTCTAGAGGAAGAAATAAGATTATTGAGAAGCAACAGGAAAAGCTATATAGACCTGAATGACCCAGTTCTTGGCATTAAAAATAGGTGCTTCTAGTTAAGAATTCTATAGCCATTTGAGATGGTCTTAATGTTTTCTCATTTTAAAATATTTTAGTTTAAAAAGTGAAACAATGGTAACTGAATTCATTCCTGTTTCAGTTATTTATTACTGTGTAACAAACTATATGCCAAAACTAAGTGGCTTAAAATATTTTATTACTTCTCATGGTTTCCTGTGTCAGAAAACTGGACAGGACACAGTGTGGAGAATTCATCTCTCTTCACATGATGTCTGCTGGAGTGAAATGTGCAAAATGGCTTCTGTACTCACATGTCTGATACCTCAGCTGGGGTGGCTTAGACAGCTGGTGTTGGCTGGAAAACCTAACTGGGGTTGTATGTTTGGTGCCACAGATTTCTGTCAGCTGGATTCTTTAATTTTCCTCCATGCAGTCTCTAGGTCTTTCTGTCTCTCCATATCTTTTCACATGGTCTCTCCAACAGGGCAATCCAGCTTCTTTCGCAGCAGCTTAGGCCTCTGGAAAGTAAAAAACTTGAAACTGTCAGGTCTACTTTCTACTTAGACTAAGAAATGGCACAAGGTTCTTTGCTGCCTTTGTAGTTAAAGAAATAAAAAGCAGACTATAGAAAGGCATGAAAGATGAAGGAAGGATGTATAGTTAAGTGGAGATCATTAATATTTCTTCTTATTATAGTTCTGTTAGGTTATAATATAGTGATATAACTAATAAGATTTGTAATAACAAATAAATCCAGTTGCCACATTTAAAAAGTGTAGCAATTGATCATAAGAGGCTATCATTGATGATAACTTACAGAAGATTTTCATGTTTTGTGATAAGTTGCTCTTAAGCCACTTTTATATCTGCTTATTACTAAGAACTATATATTTAAGTACCAAAAACCCACACATTATGATAGTTCACACAATTTCCAGTTACAAAAAAAAAAAGAATACATTGCTTTATTTCTTTCAAGCCACTAGTTCATTTTTAGAATGAGGTCCACAGTGCACCTACATCACAGTTTCCTGTAGGGCTACTAAAAGTACAGATTCCCACACCCACTCTTGTCTTACTGAATCTAGTCTTTAGGCTGTGGGTGAGTGTATAATGAAATTTCTTCTGCATTTGTTCATAAGTGGGCTGAGTTTTCTTTCCCCAAATGGAGAAGAGATTAACAACTGGAGAGTGTTGGAGACATATAGATGAGGTGTCTGCTGGATAAATATTGGTTTAATTCACAGGAAATGAAAAGCCAAGGAAAGAAGCAAGAAAGGGAAGAAGAGATGTTTCTTTCTCAACATTGACACAGACATAAGGAGAAACCAGCCAAAACACTTTTACAATCTTTAAATCCACTAATTAAAACATCTATTTGGAAGGAGAAAATGTGGGTAATTACCAGGCATAATAGACTGTCTGAGAGACACTGACTGGGATTGAGATGTAACAGCCTTGGTACAAAATGTCTTTTCAGGGAATATACATAATAATGTCATATTACTGAAAGCTTCTGGTAGGCAGGAAGCATGGCTTCATTGTGCACTGTACCTAGAACCCCGACATGCAATGAATACAAGTGGGTGTTTGATCTCAAAACATACTTTTTTTGCAGAATGCACTTTTGGACTAGAGTTTATCTATTTTCTGCTCACCTGTGATGTCACTGAAAAAATACACCAAATAAATCATATTTATACCGTGATTCGATTAGTGTGTGGAACTGGTCTTCTTGTCCTTTAATCATAAGTGAATCTTCCATTCTTCCCTTCACAAAATGTGATTGTGTTCTGAAGATTCATGGACCCAAGCATATTTTAGACCAGGGGATCACAGTCTAGACTTCAGCTAAAGCAATAAAGTGATGCTTTTTCTTCAAGGTCAGAACACCCGAGGATGAGTAAGCCTGCCGCACAGTGGTTCTTTTCTGATACATCTGGCATGAAAATAGTTCCAGATGGTTGGACACTTAAAAGCCTAAAGTATGTATAGTCGCAGCAATGAAAGAATAAGGTTTTATATGCAATTTAAATAGATATTAAAATAAAGCCATGTCCCTTTTTATCTCAGTGTTTTATAAACTCAAAGTTTGGCTAATGGAATATTCACTGTTTGTTCAAATGTTTCAATAATGCATTTATTAAAAACAATGAATTAGTATACTATTAACCAGAAATGCAAATACATATTTGCTAGGAAGAAAATAATGTTCAGGAAAAAAGAACAAAGAATAGACTGACCTCATATTTATAAATAAATCAGAAGGATAGGTAATGATATATTTTGCCAGTAGTTGGGATTTTATTTTGATGTTAAGCATAAAGTTTAGCCAACTACCACCAAGACACATTAAATTTAAGTGGGAAAAACATTATGACAATTAGAATGTTACATTTTCTCTTGATCCTTTGACCCATATGCATCATTTTTACTGTAGTAAGCATTGAGGTGGTAATAGCACTTCATTCAAATAGAAGTAAGCATCAATATCCACCACCTCCACCCCCAGATAGTTCCCTATCAATGCCTGTGTTTGAGGATTCTTCTTGGGCCAACTTTTCTGGAATTGCTTTTCCATTTATATTCCTTTTTCAATTACTTTCTCCAAAATAAAGTATTTAGACAATGGTTGTAAGTCCTTGGCACCTAAAATTTTATAATCCTTTAGAGATTCAAATATAATTTGGCTGGGCATGGTGGCTCACGCCTGTAATTCCAGCACTTTGGGAGGCCGAGGTGGGTGGATCACCTGAGGTTGGGAGTTTCAGACCAGCCTGACCAACATGGAGAAACCCCTTCTCTACTAAAAATACAAAATTAGCCTGGCGTGTTGGCGCATGCCTGTAATCCCAGCTACTCGGGAGGCTGAGGCAGGAAAATCACTTGAACCCAGGAGGCAGAGGTTGCAGTGAGCCAAGATCGCACTATTGCACTCCAGCCTGGGCAACAAGAGTGAAACTCCATCTCAAAATATTTATATATATAATAAATATATATATTATATTCATACAATTATATAAATTATATAAATATAATTAAGATAAATTTATAATTATATAAATTTAATTATGGAAATATAATTAAGAAATTGTATATATATATAAAATTTCTTAAAACTTTGCAATTCACCTAGACTAGGAATTTAAATTATAATATAACCTGGGAATAAACATTTTTGGTTTCAAACTATGAGAAATAGGTCATAATATATCTTGTTTGATACAAACCATCACTTTTTTCTTCTTTTTACCCAAATGTAACAGAAAACTATAATATTTTATTTACTGTTCTTTGACTAAAATAGATACTAATTCAGCCAAGAGGTAGAGCTAAGAAATTGAACAGTGACTCCAAGTGACTACTTCTATTCAGCAAAAGCTACCATAGATGGTCCAACATAAATCGCCCCACACATTCCTCTATTAGACTCTAAGCCCTTGAGTACAGTACCTTTTCATATACATATGTCTCTGTAAACCCACTACCTAACCCAGTGACCAGAACATGCAGGGCTCAATAAATGTTTGCCTGATGGCATGCCAATTCTAGTCTATGCACGGGCAGAACCTCTGAATGAAAAGCCAGAGTCACAGGCATCTGGAGGCTTTCCTGGATGTGCTCAACACCCCGGTCCATCCCACTATCCCATAAGTTCCCATCTGTTCAATTTTTTAAATTTGTATTTTTTATTATACTTTAAGTTCTAGGGTATATATGCACAACATGCAGGTTTGATACATAGGTATACATGTGCCGTGGTGGTTTGCTGCACCCATCAACTCATCATTGACATTAGGTATTTCTCTTAATGCTATCCTTCCCCCAACCTCCAACCCCCCCAACAGGCCCCGGTGTGTGATGTTCCCTGCCCTGTGTTCAAGTGATCTCATTGTTCAATTCCCACCTATGAGTGAGAACATGCAGTCTTTGGTTTTCTGTCCTTGTGATAGTTTGTTGAGAATAATGGTTTCCAGCTTCATACATGTCCATACAAAGGACATGAACTCATCCTTTTTTATGGCTGCATAGTATTTCATGGTGTATATATGCCACGTTTTCTTAATCCAGTCTATTATTGATGGACATTTGGGTTGGTTCCAAATCTTTGCTATTGAGAATACTGCCGCAATAAACATACATGTGCATGTGTCTTTATAGTAGCATGATTTATAATCCTTTGGGTATATACTCAATAATGGGATTGCTGGGTCAAATGGTAATTTTAGTTCTAGATCCTTGAGGAATCACCACACTGTCTTCCACGATGCTTGAACTCAGTTACACTCCCAGCAACAGTGCAAAAGCATTCCTGTTTCTCCACATCCTCTCCAGTATCTGTTGTTTCCTGGCTTTTTAGTGATTGCCATTCTAACTGGCGTGAGATGGTATCTCATTGTGATTTTGATTTGCATTTCTCTGATGACCAGTGATGATGAACATTTTTTCATGTGTCTGTTGGCTCCATAGATGTCTTCTTTTGAGAAGTGTCTTGTTCATATCCTTTGCCCACTTTTTGATGGGGTTGTTTGTTTTTCTCTTGTAAATTTGTTTGAGTTCTTTGTAGATTCTGGATATTAGCTCTTTGTCAGATGGGTAGATTGCAGAAATTTTCTACCGTTCTGTAGGTTGCCTGTTCACTCTGATGGTAGTTTCTTTTGTCATGCGGAGGTTCTTTAGTTTAGTTAGTTCCCATTTGTCTATTTTGGCTTTTGTTGCCATTGCTTTTGGTGTTTTAGTCATGAAGTCCTTGCCCATCCCCTATGTCCTGAATGGTATTGCCTAGGTTTTCTTCTATGGTTTTTATGGTTTTAGGTCTAACATTTAAGTCTTTAATCCATCTTGAATTAATTTTTGTATAAGGTGTAAGGAAGGGATGCAGTTTCAGCTTTCTACATATGGCTAGCTAGTTTTCCCAGCAGCATTTATTAAATAGGGAATCCTTTCCCCATTTCTTGTTTTTGTCAGGTTTGTCAAAGATCATATGGTTGTAGATGTGTGGTGGTGTTTCTGAGGGCTCTGTTCTGTTCCATTGGTCTATATATCTGTTTTGGTACTGTACCATGCTGTTTTGGTTACTGTAGCTTTGTAATATAATTTGAAGTCAGGTAGCGTGATGCCTCCAGCTTTGTTCTTTTTGCTTAGGATTGTTTTGGCAACGGAGGCTCTTTTTTGGTTCCATATGAACTTTAAAGTAGTTTTTTCCAAATCTGTGAAGAAAGTCATTGGTAGCTTGATGGGGATGGCATTGAATCTATAAATTACTTTGGGCAGTATGGCCATTTTCACGATACTGATTCTTCCTATCCATGAGCACAAAATATTCTTCCATTTGTTTTTGTCCTCTTTTATTTCATTGAGCAGTGCTTTGTAATTCTCCTTGAAGAGGTCCTTCACATCCCTTGTAAGTTGGATTCCTAGGTATTTTATTCTCTTTGTAGCAATTGTGAATGGGAGTTCACTCATGATTTGGCTCTCTATTTGTCTGTTATTGGAGTATAGGAATGCTTGTGATTTT